CGTACTTATATTCACCAGCAATTTTTAATAGACCAACAACGAAATGTTTATACTTTTATGTAGATTTAGTAACAGCTCATTTGTGAAATCTCCTTTCCCCCAGTGAAGCATGGGACGAAATTAGTGTTTTAGTTTCACACATCGCTTTTACTTAAAGGCAGTTGATCAGACTTCTGTGCCTTGCAAAAATCTATTGTTTCCCTAGGATTCGAATCCAGGACCACTCGCACTTAACTCTATTTAGCTACGAAGGCCATTATTTAATTAGATAACTTAGTTAAAACATTTTCGGTATTTACAAGTTAGTTGTATAAGATGTAATTTTTATGTAGAGGGAAATAGCTATTGTATTAAAATTCATTGCTCGATGGTGTAGAGGAAATCTACCTGCCATAAATGCATTTGAATGAATAATTCATGGTTCATGTGTGATTTGTTCAACGCGTCGTACCTTACCGTTTGAATTAGACATTTTGCTTCTCCTCTACCTCTTGCTGAATTAATAATTTCAAAACCCTAAATCTTCTTTTGTTTGCTATGTGAGTAATTAATTGGCTTTCATTTATTTCGAGTATACAGTAAAGAGTTTTGAAAGATACCTAATTAAAGCGATATATATTTTTTAATTTATACACAATTTAGAAGTGTTTGTGGTATAGTAGTTAGTAGGTCTTTAAGGATTTTACTTTGCGTTTAAAAAAAAATATAGTCGTTTTGATACCATTACATAGATACAAATTTAAAATAATTATGTATTATATGACCAAGAATTTGCGTAGTACAATATTTGGCAAAAGTAAAATTCGTGTATTGTTTTTATTATGAAATGCGTATCTCTATACTTATGGCTAAGAACCAATACGCACCAATCTATTTACAGACCGATGGACTGTTATTTACTGTTATTTTTTATTGCCAACTGTACGTCTTAGAGCACTGTGGTAAGACTTTTGTATATAACTCTAATATGTCTATAATAATGTCCTTTGTCTGTTTGAATTTTAAATAAAAATCATCGTTTAATTCACCATTAATAATTTATTTTGGTTTTTCTTATTTGTTAGCTTGTCATTTTAAGCTAAAAATCACTTTTATATACCTCAGGCAAATATATAAAATTTAAACTTATACAATTATTCTACCTGCATAACCTTAAAATATATTTAAGCCTTAATTTTAACTATGTTAAAACTTATTTAACTAATATTTACAACAATTAAGACTATGAAAAATGCAAAACGACGATTTGAAATAAATGTTGCCAAAATTTAAATAGGGTAAACTTCATAATATTAATTTTATTTCTATCATTATTATAATACAAAATGATTGTATTATAATTAGCAGAATCATAAATATACAATTATGTTTAGCTATATCAATAAACACAAATTATTCGAAAGAAATTATTTAGATATATTTGGAACACAGACTATATAATTTATTTATTACATCACTTCAGATACTTAACGTAATATTTGAATTATGAAATTCAACATAACTATCCTTAAATCTAAATTTTAAGTAGTTTTTAGATATTAAACCTTTTTAAATATAGTTACACAAAATGGTGGCATAAACAAGATGGCGGACAACACAAAAATATGTAAACACATTTTATGGTTATTGTGATAAAATACATTACGAAAACATATATTTTAATGTTCATTTGCATGGATTGTATTTTTTATACAATGTAACTGTAAATTTAAGCATAAACACATAAGGGAGTTTTAGTAAATTACGTTTTAACACTTTAAACATGTAAATACTACCTGCACTATAACGTCGATAATATTTAAAATTTTAAAACCAACAGGCACTTGAATTAAAGTACATAATTCATTGTTTAACTTTAACTGATCACAATTTCATTATTTACAACTGTACATGCAAGAAAATTTTTAGGCAAAATTATAAGTTAATTTTTACACTTAAAAGAAAACCTTTAAGTCATTAAATTTAATAACCACACTAAAAACTCTATAGGTTTAACGAAAGTAGTATAAAGTTTTAATATTTTCATACATAAATAAAGAACAAAAGTATTTCAAAATCTAAGATTATTCATTAAAGGTACCCATATAAGAAATAACCTAAATAGTTTGTACATATTTACATTCAATTAACTTAAACGACGAATTACTCTGAACGCACCATCAAATCTTATAATACTGTTGAGATAATCTACACATCACTACTAACCTACTTTGCGAACTTGCACCGACTTTTAAAAGCTATTTAAACAATACAAAACCTCCTTATTAGCCAGAGAATGAAAACTTTTTACTCGACTATTAAACTCAAATATAGGGACTTAAAAGTCTGGAAAATTACCAGGAATGAAAATTAAAAAATGGAATTTGAAAGTTTTTAACTTCGCATTGTATGCATAGATATTTTAATAGGGACACTCGTGTTCATTTATTTGACTCCTTAATTTTTTTTATACCGACAAATAGTAGAAAGAAGTTTACAGGTATTTAAACCAGAACTTTGCTAGGCAATGTGTTTAACCATTAACTCAGGGAGAAGTTCTACATTAAGAGTGAATATTTCATTTCTCTTACTACGTTTATATTACCCAAGGTCAGGCGCTAAGATAAGTTGTTAAGATACCTTTTATTAACTATGAACGTATCTTCCACCAAAATTTGCGTAATGTCATAGAATACACAAAGTAGACTATTGGAATTAATTTACCTATTGATTTATTTTACACACAGCCTTTTTATTGAAATCGCGAAGTTTTCAATTTATCTACAAACATCAAAACATATTTAAAAAAAAATGCACAACAGAAACATTCATACGAACAATGTTATTTTAATATTATTCTTAATTTTTCAAAACACAGTATTTACAATACTACTATGTACACACATAGTTCTAATTAATCAGTCTATTATAACATTCAATTACAACAAATATCAAATAACATTATTTTTAATATGTGTACAATGTAATATGCACAAATGGTTTACGGAAATAACTTCAAAGTAAGGCCGATACAGCGAGCTTTAGAACATAGACGCTCGAACACTTTTTTCCTTATAACTCCTTGTTTACGCTTGTTATTCTGGAAAAAAAAACTATAACAATAGATGTCTCTTAGATGTTTTCTTATATATCACAATTCCATACTTCGTAGTATACTACGAATAAGTAGTATACTACAATAAAAAGATGATGATTCTCATTTTTGTAAACGCAAATAACTAATATAAAAACCTGGTGAATAGCAAATATTGTGATGTATTTTTAATGAGCGATTCTATAAACAAATATGTAGTTTAAATAAATCACTTTAACGGTTTAAAACGCGATATATTAGTTAAAATTATTTGCAAATGATTTTAACTTCGGCTCGACGTTTTGGATGCTTTGCAGCAGCCGTGGTCACGGGGAGACTAAAGGCGGAGGATGTCTCTGATGTCAAAGTAAAAAAACTGCTACGCTAGCGCCATCTGTTCCGTCGAAATTCATTTTCAAATAAGTTTAACTAACATATCGCGTTTTAAACCGTTAAAGTGTTTTACTTAAATGTTTACTACTCGCGTAAACTATAGACAGTATTTAACAAATAGTTTGATTCAATTTCGAATAATACTTACGTATTGACATTATTTTCGTTCGTATTAATTTAAAGTTATAAAAATAACGACAGAAACGAAATTACCTACACTATATGCCATTATACACAACTTAAAATGCTTATTCATAGCTATCTTAAAAATTAAAAACCCTGAATTTTCTACATAATAACTATCTAAGTGCAACGACTTATCTTATTGTAAAATTTTGTAAGAGGAATTGTAAAAATGACTGCAATATCAGGACAAGTATTGTCGGCAGACAAGTTTCCGTGGCGCCACCTGCAATAGGAATGAAGACATTAAATTTAAAGACCGCTCGTTGCAACTGTATAAAAGTTTAAAGTTTATATGGGATTCTTGAGAGCGCCTTAAATAAACATGAGTTCGGATAAGTATTTTCTTAAATATAGTTTTAAATTATTTCATAGACACGTTTTAATATACTAAAGATATTCTATGGGTTCTTGTTAAAGTAGCAACAGTAAAATTTTATTAAAAATAAGTTGACTTCTTATTAAATACATTGAAAATAGGTTTTTGTCCGTCACGAAATGAAACATAATTTATGATAATAATAATAAAAGTATATTCAGAGTATTGTATTGTTGAATAACTATAAAAGTCTTTCTAAAATTATTTAAGAAAGTTTTTATTATGCTTTAGCTTACCAATCTCCTTCGTATTTATAATTTTAGTTACGGCGTAGAATTACAACGACGCTACTCGGCTACGTCGTAGCGTAGTGAGTGACCAAATGTATTAGCAACCGCTACAAAGGTGCTACGTCGTAGTATTACATGCTACGAGATAGAATTACCATTGCTACGGCTCGATGTAGCAATGATCGGCTGTAGCTTTTTTCAGTAAAGCTACGCTTGAAAACTTAAATATTTTTTACATGTTATTGCACATAAAGGCACTATACAATTTAAAAATCGAAAATAAATTAAAAACATTTTTTCGTTTCTGGCAGGACTTGAACCGGCATCGTCAGCGTTCCGTGCTGTTGCTCTACCAATTGAGCTACGTTTGTGAAATAATGATAATTCACTGATAGTGATAATGTTAATAATTATAGAAATATATTAAATTAAAAATCGAAAATAAATAAAAAAACATTACGAGTGAATTATAGTGCCATCATATGAAACATGTAAAAAATATTAAAATTTCAAGGATATATATTGTTAAGGCGAAATATTTGCATTAATAACGGTTCCTATAACATACAAAAAGCTTACAACACCAGAATGTTTCGCCTGTTTGATTTTTTCACACAAGTAAAAATCATGACAGTGCCACAGAAATAACAAGTTGATTCTATACTTGCAATTAGAGCGAAAAGCACTTGTGGGAATTTTAAAGTGCACACCCTGTGTAGTGTCAATATACTAGAGTGTAGAGTTACACAGTTAGCTCGAGTGACTGAGGTGAAAATAGAATCGAAATACCTGTGAGACTACGTCCTAGCGCTGAAACCGGTTTCGCGTTTTGCTCCCTCAGGGCAACGACGGGGCTCGTCGCTTTCCACACGTCGAATATTGACGCTTCACAACTGCAATAATATTATGCTTCTCATGTTGCATTCCAATTGGAACTCGGTGGAACATTTCACGTACTTTGGATCATCAATAGGCGTGGGGTGTGATGGGAATTCTTGATATTCAATGATGTGATAGGTCTTGCATTATGTAAGTCTCGTTTTTAGTAATATTAAATAGGTGACTACTAAATAAGTATTTATATTGTATTATATAATACACTATATGTATAAATATAGATAGCCTTGTGTATAAGTTACAAAACTAATGTAAATCTTGCGAGAGAATAAATTCATATTGTATTATTTCAATCTGACATCAGACGCAAAAATTATTTATTTTTATTAATAGGCGATTAGGTTTCAGTGCGTTTCACGAGAAATAATATAATACATAGCTACGGGGTTTGAACCCCGGACTTCATGCATTCAAAAATCGTTGAGGTATACAAGTAATTAATCTCACCTTACTTTCTTAGTTTCACCGCCTCTGTAGCTAAATGGTTAACGTGTTGTCTAGCATTGCGTTGAGCGCGAGAGGTCCTGGGTTCGAATCCCGGGGAAGCAGTAAATTGTTTCGGTCGGACAGGGCACAGAAGTCTGATCAACTATATGCTTGTAAATAAAACCGATCAGTAAAACGGACACAGAAATATGTTCACCCTATGCCCCACGACGGGAAACGGGATTTCACTTTACTCTCTTAGTTTAAAGACGAAGGTTAATTCTTTTTAACTAAAAATAGACGTTTTAAATGATTTATAGTATCTTTGATTTATAGGATTTATTATTTATCACGTTTTGAACTACAGACAATATTTAAGACATAATTACCGTATCATAAGTACAGGAAAGGGGGACTCCACAGCTGTCTCTAGTTCTAATGTAGACAAAGTAGACGCGTATCCGTTTGAGAAGTTAGTCACGTGGTTCGCTGTGAAGCTCGGCACCTGCGCCAGTTAACGACGATTACACAAAACTTTGGCATATCACACTTGGTATTATTCAAAACTTGAGGATATCAGTCATATTGGGAACTAGAAAGGACCCGCGGTACTGTCGCTGTCCATTATAGTTTTGTTAATTTTAATAAACCATATTTAAAGTTGGTTGGATCAAAATATTATGTCAATTTGCCTGTCTTACTGGCAAGGAGTGAAATTAGACTCAGGATTTGATTTAGTCTAATTATTATGAATATAAATGGTAAAGCTTATATACAAAAATGGTGTAGATGAATACGTGAATGAATGTATAAACAGTCTATATGCGACTACGTGCACCAAAATGTATGAAATAACCTCTAAAGCGGCTGGTCGTCAAACTAGTAGTAAGTTATACATTCAGACAATACATTTATATGTCTGGATTGTAATATTTCAATTGTAAAGTGATTGTTAGATGTGGAATTTTATTAAATTGACCCATAATGTAGATTAAGAATCTATTTAGAAAGAAAAAATGGCGGTACGTCACTTCAACCGGCAACTATAGATAGCGTGATGCTGTTCTAACCAATTGTGCAACCGAGTCGCACCAAGTTCAGTGACAAATAAAAGTGTATTTAATAAATTTTGTTGTAATCATTATTTTAATTTCTTGAAATATAGACATGGGTTGACATTTGACACATTCCACGTTTAAGACTCGGCCCCTAAAAAGGCTGATATCTTTTAGTAGTACTTAAAGATATCAGCCTTATTTTACCACGGTATTCGCTTGTAATTATCAAAATTAAAATTAGTTACAAACTGTCTGTAAGTTAAGCTCCACAAAATTTGTCAGTCAAATAGACAATGAAGAGACTTTTGTTTTTAAATTCTAAAAGACTGTTTCTACTTTCTTATTTTGACATGTAGAATGGTAAAGTACCCAGTAGCCAGTTCATAGTCAGGACTTCAATTCGAGCCATTGTAAATAACTTTGTTACCCTTATAAACGAGGCCCTCCACTTTTGTGTGTATTACTATGTGTAATTAAATATACCCTGTTCTTCTTAAAATTCTGTTATTTTAAGAAGGCTTATATGAAAACAATCTTCGCAGTGAAAATGCAAAACGAAACTTACGTTTCATTATCCAGCATCATGTTAGTCGGGAGCAGTGTAATTTTAATGCGGGATAATTCTGAGAAGCGAAGCTTTTAATTACTCGCGTCACACACATTATCATATTATATAGGATTTGAATGTTGCAGCTGTAGAACTGTAAGTTTTGTTTCGTATTTAATTCTCTAATGAGTAAACATTGTTACCTATGTGATTTTTGATATATGATCCTTCTTACTTATGGTGGATAAGGACAAACAAATAATACAATTAACGGTCTAATACGCGAAATATATTAGTTTTTCTATCACCCGTAGTTTCGTTGTTAGCAACCGTTGTCGCAAGAGGACAACAAAATATATTAACTAATATATTTTGCGTTTTAGATCCTAAGATACTATTTTAAATTTTAAGCATTGCTTGTGTGAAATACAGTTTCCAAAGGGTCGGTTATAAGAAAGTATAACTCATTTTATTATCATCTTTAAAACTATATATAGTTTAACATTCAAAGTCTACTCTCCAATCACAAATAAGGAAAGTGTGAATGATTATAATATTTGTATTTGAATAAAAAAATTACAAAAAATAAATAGAACAATAAAATTACAACTTACATTTATATGCAAAAATGTCTTTGAAAAACTCAGTAAATAACTATTTACTTTATTATTACTATTTAAACCAAATCAAAAGACATCAAATCACAAAAAATCTTGCGCCTACATGTGTGTGTACGCGACATTTAACATTAAATATTTCCAACTTACCATCTGTTCGTTGACGTACCAAGTGACGTTAGCTGCGGGTAGAGAAGGAGCTGAGGAACAGTTTGACTGAATGTGGTCCCCTCCAACATACATCACAAGATTCGTTGTGATGTTAGGGCCAATTAGAGGTGGTTCTAGAACAAAAAATTAAATTAAAATCGAAAAGTATTTTTATGTTCCATAAAAAAGTTCTTAAAAATATAGTTGTCACAAATTGTGTTTTAATAGCCGTCTATTTTGAACAAATATTGTTTATAATTAACGCGAGTGGTTTTTTTCACATTAAACATAAAACACTTGTAACTGATAATAATAATTATACTACGAATAAATTGTGTAAGGCTTTCACGGCCATCGTTCAGCATATCATTGTCTTTCGGGCTGTTCGGCCCATGTGAGCGAGAAGAGGTTCTCGACGTTTCGCCATCACGTGTGGACGGCATCATCAGGAGATGTTAACTCCTCGATTGCCGCCGCGATCTTAGGTTATATGCATTTAGACCCGATCGCATATCGGCGGTTTGTTGGGTGTTATTCTGTGAAGTGTAAATATGAATGTGTGATTCAGTGTTCTGAAATTCATTTGCTTTGCCTTTTGGCATTTCACAGAATTGAAAACCCATGTTGGTGTAAAGAACCCATGTTTTTTTAATTTTGAGAGATTCCTCGGATCTATTAAAATTCCGTTTATGTTTATGAATCTCTATCGCATCTCTGTACAGTCTGGGGTAAAAAGTGCCATTAGAACATAATAATTGAGTATTTTCGAAAATTATTCTATGATTGTCGTTATTTAATGGTCCGCAACCGTCATTTGTCCGTATGTCCCAAGCGACAATTAGCTTTATGTTTTTTAATTCTCGTATTCACAGAACGCTTAGTGATACCAATATATACTTCCCCACAAGTGCACGGGATGCGGTATACTCCTGAGGATGATAATGGGTCCCTTTTGTCCTTGCTACCAAGATACCAAGTAATTTTCAATTTTCTTTGTTGGTTTAAAGATTGTTTTAATATTGTACTTTCTCATAACTCTGCCCATTCTATCTGTCACTCTAGAAACATAATGCAGAAAGGCCTTAGAAACAATCTTATTACCTTCAGTTTCCTCGTTACTCATACCCAAATCATTAGTTTTGACTGTAAACATTTATCTATGTCTCTTTTGCTGTGTCCATTGGCCATAAGGGCGCTCTTGAGATGCTCTATCTCTGTATCCAAATATTTTGGTTCACAGATTCTCTTAGCTCTTTCTATTAATGTCTTGACCACCCTTCTCATGTAGCATGGGTGGTGGTTGGAAAGATTATTTAGGTAACGGTCTATCCATGTAAGGTTCAATTGTAATACAAATTGAGATGTTATTTTTTATAAAATGAGATGGGACACGCAGCTAAGTTACAGCCAACATAATGAGCAATAATATGAATCGATATGTAATAAATCAAAGTTGGCTCCCAGCGTAATTAAAAAAATTGAACCAGCTACAGCTTCAAATAATAAACAAAAGAATGAAAAAATATGATTATGACTGTGGTTCTATGTAACGTAAAATTTTAAGCACGGTAGAAAAAAATATTGAACTATAAACAGACCTGAGTATGCCACTTATCCTATAGATATAATTACCTATAGTAGGATTACAGAGATAATTTTTAATATAAAGATAATTAACTCATGTACACGATGTAATATAAACAATCGTTCCATGAAACTCTTAACTCGAATATAACCTAAAACTCACGTATCAATTCGAAAAGAAAATGTCGGCAAAAATCGGCAAACTACAATAGGTTTAAACTTTGTAATCCTTGCGATTCGTTTATCTGAGAGAGCAGGTTTGTACGCAATGGCCTTTTCGCCTTTTTGCCTGGTTTTTTAACGCTCAAATCCCATTCTCGATAAAGACAGCCAGCTTTGAGTTTGAACCTAAAAGCCGGGCTTAAACCGAGTTAGCAGAGGGCTTTGCTTTTGAAATACTATATTACGCAGATATGAGGCGCACTTAAAGTTGCGTACATTATTTTAATTAGCCTGACACGTCTCTTTAAGAGCACCCTACTGAAAACTACCGCCATCTTTTGTTTAGAATAATACTTCCTATTTTTATTGTGAAAAGCATTTAGTGTTATTATATTTAAATTTAGAATAACTTGAAATTATGACCAATGTCTGAGTTTAATTAAATAAATATATTTAAGTATAATATGTCATTTCTAAATATTGACCTATAAATCACATCACATTTTAACTCTTTCACTATTAAATTATTATTAACAGATAATTTTTAGTAAATGTCAAAATAAAACGTATAAAATTATAAGAAATCGATACACCCCGCGATATTTTTTCTAGTCTCTTACTTTACAATAAAAATAGCTAAAGTTTTGTGTTGTATTCGAATATTAGCCTTAGCCATATGGCCCTGTAAGGGCTAAAATACAATTCGTTAGAGTAACAAGGATTTAAGTTTTTCTAAAGATACAATTTCATATACAAACGGCTACCATATTAAATAATGAACGAGAATGAGACTAAAACAACATCCGTTCATAATGACAAAAGAGTGAACCGTCTCATCGTTCATTCATTCCCAGACAAAGTAAACAAAAGAATTCCGAACGATACAAAATAAAGTTTCCCTAAGAATTTTCTCAACAGAGGATCTGACAAGCGAACGATACCCATTCAAGAGTGAACTGTTATTCGGGCGTGAATGAGCCGAATTGAATGGGATCGGACCTTTTTACTCAATTTGTAAACATATAAATAAACCCTGATAGGTTTTATTCGATGAAAGAACTGAAAATTAGTTTATATTCAGAATAATCGTTCACGTAGTGCCGAACGATATTAATTTGATTATTCAATAGTTTGTACACATGACTACGCAATTAAATATTTAAAACATAGAATTAATAGGTATAATGCAGTTACCGTATAGTTAGTAAAATATAAAAACTATGTGTTAAATATATAATGGAAACATTTTAATAAATCAAGCAAAATGATTAAGCATGTATTTTTCGACGGCCTCCTTGATGTAATGGTAGCAATCTGTGCCTTATCAACTGGTCGTAGATTCGATCCCCAACGCGTTCAATACTTTTCTAGTCAATTTATAGCTTTTCTGAAGCATGTTGTTCTTTGTATAGAAGTCTGGATGATAAATAGATAAGAATATCGAAATTACACAAACCACGGGTTAAGTAGCTGTCCAGTTTAATCGCATTTCGGTTGCAGTCTGTGGATTTTCGAATATACAAAGCTAAATTAGACCGACAGTACATCCTGTTATAAGAGTGATATTTCACCTTCTGTCAAGGGCACGTCGTGCTTCTCTGCCTTCCTCTATCATAAAATAATGCATATACATAAAAACGTAATAATTTTGACATAATGATAAAAGTAAAGATAAATTAAACGCTGCTAACAAAACATGAGATGTGCTACTAAGTAGAAGTAATGTGCGTAAATCGAAGATAAAAAGATAATCGAACTATCCCCGGCCCGAACCACCGTCCACAGATGAAAAAGTCCTGAAGTTTAATCGCGATTCGGTTGCAGTCTGCGGATTTCCGAATATCCCTAGCCAAAATAGGTCGACGCATTTTGTTTAGATCCGGCGGCTGGAGTATTTTACTCACCATCAAGTGCTAACCTGTCCCCCTCTATCATTAAAAGAGTCAACTATCACAATTGCAGACGTTGTAATTTAAATAAAACACTTTAACGGTTTAAAACGCGATATATTAGTTAAACTTATTTGAAAATTATTTTTAATTTCGACCAGTTTCCCCAAATACCAACTTTGACGGAACAGATGGCGCTAGCGTAGCAATTTTTACTTTGACATCAGAGACATCCTCCATCTTTAGTCTCCCCATGACCACGGCTGCTGCAAACCGAAACGTCGGGCTGAAGTTAAAAATCCAACCCGCTTTTATTGCATAAAAATATGTCTGTGACGGTGAACGTTAGAATATAATATATAATAGTTAGAATATAACGTTACGCCTAGACAAAGGGTAGTTGAAAAAAGGCAGATTGAAACTGAACCGGGTCGTTTGTTTTCGAACGCTCGACAAATACCAGCTGCGTACTAGATATGCAATATTTCAGCTTTACTAAAAAAAGATTTAAGTACAAGGACGAAGAGGACAGTACTATGATAATGGAGTACAAAATAATTTGCATATATAACAAATAAAAACTCTTTTAACGGTTTAAAACGCGAAATATATTACTTAAACATACGACTGCTGCAAAGCATCCGAAACGTTGGGCCGTAGTTTAAATAATTAAATAACTTAATTTAATATATTTCGCGTTTTAATTTATTGAAGTGTTTTATTTAAATGCGAAATATATTTAAGAACTTATTTTTTAACTGCTAACCTGGCAAACGTTTTTTTGTTATATAACTAGCTGTTTCCGCGACTTAATCCACGTTGTATGGTTAATTTTGGGCAACATTTTATATTTTTGCAAACAATCTCCTTAGCTTATATAAATTATTGAAATTTATAATGGGTCTCGGATTCGATTCCTACTGGGCCCACAGATAAATACGCCATAAAGTTTTCCAAGCCAAAGTAGTCCAAAGCCAAAATAGATCCCTGTGAAGAATATTATTTAATTGTGTTTTATTTATAAAGATTTACATTTTTTATAATACAAGAATCTGAGCACGTATTATCCTTAACCCGCGGTAAAAATTAATTATTGTGATCGGCACAGAAATGTGATCTAATACATTCAAATACACAGATATAGTGGAGGAAATACTGTCTATAGTTTACGCGAGTAGTACACATTTAAATAAAACACTTTAACGGTTCACGGGGGTGTCTCGGGGAGACTGAGTCCTCGTCGTGTGTCCTGAGTCGTGACCACAGCTGCTGCAAAGCATCCGAGACGTCGGCCAGAAGTTAAAAATCATTTTCAAAAAGGTAAAACTCGTATATCGCGTTTTAAACCGTTAAAGTGTTTTAACTAAACATAGTGGAGTACATAGTGGAAACAAAATTACACATTTTTTGAGTAATAAATAAAACACTCAGTAATTTTAGTTTTAATTTTTTTAATTTAAGTATTAATGGTAAAACCTTGTTTTCCCTACTCTATTTATACTAATATATATCGCGTTTTAAACCGTTAAAGATTTAATTAAATGTGTACTACTCGCTTAAACTACAGACAGTATCTACTTCACATAATACAGTTTAACTATGATTAAATTCGAAACATGCTAAATCAAATTCTAATTTTTCATCCAATAAACTCTCGAGCTGCCTCACTTTCCGAGTGAACATCAAATGGAACAGTGCAAACAAATCGCAAAGCCCATTAAATCGAAACAAAATGAGAACGATTTAGTATGCACAAGTCATTTCCAAGCGTTCGTAGAGCCAAGTAATTATTCATGTAAACACAGTTGATTTTCTTACGTTTTTTTTCACTCGGAACAGATTAAAAATACATTTCAGTAGAAGTGCGAGATTACGCGTCATTTGTTTTGATTCATTGACTGTTTTATAGATGTAATGTGATATTAATAAAAAAAAAGACTTAATTTTAAAAGCGACTTTAGCGCCTGGCTCCTGTCACCTGGTTGCCTGGTTAGATCAGTCATATTACACCAGTTCGACGGACTTGTTGGTATCATGATAGCAATGTATAGGATAAACGACGGGTCGTGGGTCGATACCACCGTGTTCAACATCGATTCAGCCGTTCGGTGTCCACAGCTGGATATAGGCCTTTCCCATAGACTTCCAGTACGAGCGGTCGTAAAATATTGGCATTCTTATAAAAATGTGGATATTAAATGAGTGATAGGGCTTCATTCTTCCGTCCACGTCACTAGCCACAGATCAAAAAACCGTGAAGTTTCATCGCGTTTCGATTTCCGTCTGTAGATTTTCGAATACGAAAGCCAAAATAGGTCAAACCACATCTTGTTTAGATGTTACGTGGCTGGGATATTTCAACTTAAATTTAAAAAAAACCTTATGCTTGTCTGTCTCCAAAACTAAAGTACTATCTTATGACAAGATTGATCTATTGACAAGAACGATGTTTAGTAATGAACAATGAGATAAAGAAAAGGATAAAATCTGATGACAGAATATTGAAGACCAGTATATAGTAATAAGTAAGAACATCTAGTTGTTTGTTCAAGTAATAAATTAAAAAACTTATTTGTTAATGCAAACCACGGAGAAAATGTACTAATACCATTTCTGTGGTGTTTGTAACTAATAAAGTTAATAAAATAAATAATAAATAAATAATATGATAATTAAGGAGATTCATAGAAATAATAATATTTTCAGATGAAAGTGTTTGCGTTTGTCTAAATAAGCATATTTTCATCAAATTTATCATAAAATCATTTATAAAGCCGGGTTAATCTAAAATTATTTATTGCAATCAATCAATGGATTACTGGTTGACCTAGTTGAATAAACAGAGTCCTATTATTTCCCAAAACATCTATTTCGTTCGCGTACATAGAGAAATAGTGCATCTCTAATTACGCTATTGTTGTAGATATAATGCGATTGTACGGTACAGTTATATTATTGTCCAATTGTCCAATTGTTCTAATTCAAAACGTTTTAGTAGTAACGATGTTTATAGTGCGCTGTGGATTTGATTTCATTGAGGTTCAAAGTCTAAATCATCTTGTAAAAAATAAACAAAGCAATAGCTTAAGGAACGTTCGTTTTTTATTACGTAAAAGATATCTTAATTTTTTGTGAATTAATTAAGAGAATACTTGTTAAAATTGTTGATATGTTTTAGATTTGCTGTCTTATCTGCGCGGCTATCTTAAAAACGAGTATTGATCTTATGTTGTTTTTAGTTTTATTTTAGTGGCTACACAATTATACGTATTTTTTAAATTCAGTTCAGCTCTTCAGTTACTACAGGGTTACAGGTTAATAGGAAATAAAGATACATAACTTTAGAAATAATATACTAAAAAACGACTATTAAGTTAGGTTTAGTTAACCTTTCATACTCAAATTAGTCAAAAAGCTATTACCCTCTAAGTTATCTTAATCTTACCTCGTATATTTCTAGCTGTTTTTGAGATACTGAGATACTGCCCTGGTGGCAGACAGACATACAACTAAGTCCTAAGTTCCTTTTTATCTCACATGTACGGAAAGCTTAGAAGCTTTGAATTAATAAATGTCTCAATGTAATACCTACCAACAACAACCATCTTCGCCGCTTTGATGTCTGTATGGAAGAGGGGGGCGTCCGCTGACACTTCGCACTGGTATTCTCCAGTTAAGGACCTGTCCACGTCTGTCAGTACCACCCGGTTCTGATCTGATTTTGCTACCTGGCAACACACAGATTTTATAAATTTTACGTACTGTCTGTAGCTTACGTAACTAGTACACTTTTGAATAAACACTTTCAACGGTTTACAACGCGAAATGTAGGTAGTTTGTCTAAACACCATTTCACTAAACAAGGAAATAGATGGAGTTAGAATATAGAATTCGACTTTGACATTAGGGACGAATTGTCAGGTATAGTTAAAATAGATTCTAAATAAGTTTAACTTTACGTTTTAAACTGTTAAAAGTGTTTTATTTAAATACTTACGTCAACTTTAATCTCAGCAACAGGAAAAACTTTGGTGGCAGGCGACTCTTTAGGCACATAGCGATAGAATTCGATCATATTTCTATACCATCTTATAGAATATAGCTGCGCGCCCTCCAGTTCATAAGTGCACATAAGTTCCGCATCTCGACCCGTTAAAACCGCTGTTGGAACGTGGATCTGTAGCGACTTTAAGGTGCTGACTGTACCTGTAACAAAAAACATTTTTTTTATAAATAACAGACAAGTATAGGATTCAATTGATGGTAGGAAATACCCAAGCCATATAAAATCTCAAGAAGATGCGCTATTGATCTATTTTGGGATATTCGGTAATCCACACACAGAATTCGAAATACAACTTAACTTTACACTGTTTTCATCAGTGGACGGTGGTTCGGAACACGGACGGAATATTGACATTCCCACCACCCATATAATATCCATTTTCCATACGAAGACCCGATAAGGAGAATTATAAGTGGATAAGAAACATACATAGAGCCGGCGGTGATCAAACCCTAGCCTCGTAAATTAGCCAAACATCGCTACCATGAGACCAACGAGCCCGTCGGAATCATTAATAATTTTGAATGTTAATTTATAATAAAAAAATGTATTGTTTTAGATTTGGAAAAATATGAGACGGCCGGGATTCGAACCCACGATCACAGTATACCGCGCTATTGCTCTTTTTTGTATTTGAAAAAAATTTGTATTAAAACAAATTTTGGACACAGCAGACTTGAACCGGCATTTTGTGTTACTGCTCTAACCAAGACGACACGGTAACTCAGCTGGTGAGAGCAAGACGCCTCTGTCGACTAAATTATTTTTTAACTTATATCATTAATTCTTCTGCGCTTCTATTTCTGTACAATGTATATATCTAAATTCAAAAGAAAATAAAATAACAAAGAAGTTTTGATTGAATCCGGTTTCATTCGCAAGCCCTAACATTTCAAACGACGTCAAAAATTCCCCAACTCCAGCGTCGTACACCTGGAGTTCTCTTTATTAAGCGATAACAATCTTTAAAACGTTTAACAAAGGAGTGAAATTCGTTTAAAAGAATCGCATTTTCAACTTGTTACGTTTTATGATTTCTCCGTGCTTCGAAAGGTGAAGTAAATATCGAGTTTATGATCCTCGTTACAAGTTCGCTCGTAACGGTAAACGGTAGGTTATTACGGCGTTGCTTCTCAAATCTTATTCTTAATGCTCTTTGGAGTTATTAATGCCTGGTATTTATTTATATTTGAAACAATCTTTTTTTTCAATAAAATAATTTTAACGGCTTGAAACGCGAAATGTATTTACTAACTTTTTCTATTTAACGTGAATATGGTGGGACATATTCGAGTGCTCGAGTTTATTTATTTATTATAATAAACTGCTCAAGAACTATTTTTTTCTAGTTTGAATTGCATTATTTTATCTAATCCAGATTAGCCTAGCCCATTCAAGATAATATTAAGAAATAACCTACCTATTATAATTATATTAATTGTTATTGTTGAATGTGTGAAAATCCAAATTCCGTCCGTGTCACAAACCACCATGATGGAAAAAGCCTTGAAGATTCAAAAAGCGATACTTTTTTGATTTCAGTCTGTAGATTTTCGAATATTAAGGCTAAAAAGATTCGACACCGCATTTGTTTCGGCTAGAATACCTTGCCTTCCTTAAAGTGAAGACCTCGTCTTCGTCTATCATAAAAAAATACTTTTAATAAACGTACTGTATCAAGATAATTGAGATAAATATCTAGAAGTAGCACGTAGTGTATTTATAATGCATTAAAATACTGATAACATAAATTATAGTATACGGAAACAAAATTTCATGGCTAAATTCGAAATAATGAAAGTCCGATATTACATAAAATTTCCAAAATGCTTTTTATTTTTCAAGCTCGACTATATAAAATGTCAAATGTTATCGAATTGTTTAATGACGCGCAATGTAGAGGAAGGAAGGGAAGGAAGATAAGTAAATATATATATCATGTACGCGTTCAATTGTTTAATTTGTTCTTTGTCTCTGACGCGACTTATTATCTGTTTTATTGGAAGCGATTTTCCAGGGAAAATCGAATCGATTGTGGTCCTATACTTTTAACAGCTGCTTTAAAAGACACGGGGTATTAGCTTGGGTTTAAAATAAATTCTTTATTTATAATTACGTTTAGTAAGTATATTTTGACTTATAGAAAAGTGGAAGCCCGTTTCCCCTCGTGGGGCATGGGGCGAACACATTTCTGTGTCCGTTTCACTGATCCGTTCTTTAACGGACAAGTAGTTGATCAGACTTCTGTGCCCTGCCCGACCGAAAAAAAATTATGTTTCCCTGGGGATTCGAACGTAGAACCTCACGCGCTTAACGCAATACTAGGCAATACGTTTAACCATTTGGCTACAGAGGCGGTCTCCTTGACTTATAGAAAAGCCTACTTTATTTTGCTAGGTTCCTTTATATTAAATGTCAGGATCAAAAAAAAATCTAATTAACTATGTAATCTATGAAATGTTTTCCTAAATATAAAGGAAGAAGGTTTGGAAATGAACGCTGTAGAGACTCCTGTTTTTTAAGTCGCCTTATGTAGAGTAAATTTATTATTTAATAAAAAATGTTAGAGGTGGCTTATGTTGAAAGACAAATTGTTAGTATTGTTAAACAAATAAGGGCTTATTTTATTTATTTATAGATTTATACTTAGTATTTTGTAAATGTTTCAATTATAAGGGGCTACAATATTTATTTTCTGTTATTTTTAGTAATTGTTAAACTCCCCAACTATCGTACTTCTAAATATAGCCTGGTGATAAAAACAGAATCCGCAGGTAGTTGTTACTATCGATTACTACAAAATTATTTATTTTGTAAAAGGATATATAAATCATGTATTCCTCTTTCCAATATATTTCTCTTCATACTCAGCACAATATAGCGGACAGCGTAACCCACATTTTTATCGCATTAATTCCAATAACACCCCCGAGATTAATTAATATGCCAACGAAAAATATAGCTTTATGGAGGTAATAATGGTTCAATTCTACGTTCGGAAATTACTGTTTATGCCCCTCGTTCTTTATTCGGAAACTTTTTTAATGCTTACCTACTATCCGTTTTAAGTTTATTAATAAAATCAAAATGTGCGGCCCGATATATTTTGTGTTCTACTGTGTTTCGACATTTTATTTATATTTTTACCCTTTTTGTATGTATATTTGTATATCAGTCAAGTCTATTAAAACACATATTATCATTTAAGCTTATATATCACGTTTGACGTTTGTAATTTGACTTTTGGGTATGAGATACTGTATGTTAAATATTTTACTGTTGATTTATATTGGTTGTCTGTTTATTAGATTTTAGTAATATTTGTATTTTGTTTGTAATTTCAAATTCTTTTCAGTAAAAAGGGTTTTTAATGGTTAGTTTTTCTCTTCACTGTCAAATGCATAAAATATTACAATTAAGTAAATAAAACATGAAAATCTATTATCTTATCATGTAACCTAAGATTGTGCTTTTACAGTATCTAAATAGGTATAATTAGGTACTTACGTATCTAATCATTGTATTTTATCGTGAAGTAAGCAACTTACCGTTTAATTTCTAGACTTTTATTAAATGTTTATCCACTTTTAGCTTCAACTTGTAAATGTAAAGTTAAATTTTAAGATTTAATTTGCGTTTTGCTGAGCTAGTTTTAAAAATTAACAACTACCCCTAATGAGAGCTGACTTGGCTTGACTCTAAGATTTTTGTAACTAGTTAAAAATGTTTTTAATCTCTACCTTATCGCAGTGACGTCATAGATAATTTTTACAAAACGACCACTTAGCCCGCCGCGATAATTCAGCGCGCATTTAAATTCAGAACACTCACAACGATATTGTTCTACGTCGCGAGCCCAGATAAAAGCATTTTAAATCTCCGAATTTATGGTTTGTTTGGTAAAAGTGTTACTATTCGTATTTACGCAGCGGAGCGGTATTTTAATATGGCAGAGCGGTTTATGCAGCGTCACGAGCCCGCTTATGGGTCAAAAGGAACTTGGAGAGGATCGATGCTGTTTACAGATTAAGAATATTTGACACGTTATATCGTTACAGTGGAAAAATAATAAGGGAAACCCAGTCTCCCATAGTGGGGCATTGGAATACATTTCTGTGTCCGTTACACTGTTTGGTGTTGATTCCAGGCAAGTTATTTATGAATCATAAGCCCTGCTACATGTTACAACTATCAACTGTCTATTGTTTCCACGGACTTCGAACTCAAGAACTCTCATGGTAAGCAAAATGCTGGGTAACATGTTTAACCATTTAGCTACAGAGGCGGCTTGTATAAACAAAATATACACTGTCTATAGTTTACGTGAGTAGTACACATTTAAATAAAACACTTTAACGGTTTAAAACGCGATATATTAGAAACGTCGGGCCGAAGTTAAAAATCATTTTCAAATAAGTTTAACTAATATATCGCGTTTTAAACCGTTAAAGTGTTTTATTTAAAAAACAATATACGTGCGCAAAGTTTCGAAAGTACAGCTCAACAAACATACTAAAAAAACCTATCCCAATTTTTCTTAAGTATTATTTACATAATCACATTTATTTATAGATACAGATTAAAAATAATATATTTTATAGTTATCTTAAATAATCAGGTATGTCTTGTCTTATTCAATCAAATTCTTTATAAATAGATGTATGTGGAGGGATACCACTCAGCTTTTACTAAAAACGGACTTTTTACGCCGCTACCCTTAAAAACTTGTTATCAAAATATTTAATCTACCCTTTGAGCCGGATTTTTAATTGTCTTCTGGTAAGAATTTTACCTTAAGCTTATCAAGAGCCATCGCCATAAATAACTTTCGCTTGACCTACATAGTGGCAATTTTCCTTAACGTTAAAATATTATTATATTGTTTTTGATTTAGTAGGCTTTTCCTACCGTTTGTGCTGTGTTTGCTAATGACACTCTGATTATTTAGTTTGTTTCGTAGTTCATAGGCACTTCTTCACCCTCGGGAGCGCTGAAAACTGACCGCTTCTCTTGTAACCGGTATGCATAAGCACTCTTTTTGGGCTTGATTTATTTTCATCATTTCATACAATTTAAATATGTAGGTATTGTTATATTTAAATTTTTTAAATAAAACACTTTAACGGTTTAAAACGCGATATATTAGTTAAACTTATTTGGAAATGATTTTTAACTTCGGCCCGACGTTTCGGATGGTTCAGCAGCCGTGGTCACGGGGAGACCAAATTTAAATTATTTATTTTGTTTGTCATAAGTTAGGTATGTGTCCTGTAAAATCCATGGTTTGATTTTGATACAGTCATCCACCTTAACTTATTTTTCATTACCACTAAGATAAATTTGAGTTCGACATATGTTTCTCTTAGACTTAATATTATATTATCTTGTCTCTTATTATCTTCTTCTCTTAGACTCAATATAATAATATTATAGATATTAAAATATTGAAAATTGAAAAAGTGAAATGAAGAAAATTGTTTCAAATCATTTTCGCATAAATGGGTGGTAGGAATATAGGTCTACAGCATCAATTTTAGATGTTATAAGGCTTGCGTATTTCGCTGCCTATCAAAGGAATACCACACTTGCCTGTTCTCCATTACCAAAAAAAAAAACGTTCAAAGTGCCTTTATCGAGAATTATATCGCTAAATAAGCATGTTTGGCATGGCCGGCGTGTATACGATACGTGAGACCGCGTTGCAACTTTTATATATCGATACCGACTTCACTGCCAAAAGTTTTGTTTTGTTTTTCCCGTACAGATAAGCATTACGTGTCCATTGGAAACGGGGGCAGATTTTTATAGAAATGTTTACGTAAAACTGGGGTTCAACTGCAGATAACTGCGTGTTAGATTTCTGCTCGATTGAATGGCGTTGTGGGGTGATATGTTGTCGGTTTGTTACGGAAAGTATTGTTTGTTGCTTACGAAAGTTATACACGTTGGATAAAACACTTTTAACGGTTTAACACAACATGTTAAAAAAATATTAGTTTTTTTTAACGTTTGTTTTTTATTACTTATACTTCTTTTGTAAATGCTTTGAGCGTCCCTCTTATCAAACAGTTTCTATTTAAAAAAAATGACTAAAGTATTGCTCGTTTTAAACCGTTACATTTTTTTAATAAACATTTTCTGAGTATATTTCGTGTAAAGACGTATGTGGGCATAGATTGAAAATCAAAATAAATTATTTTTACGTATTATAAATATATACAATAAAACACACTTACATAAAGAGTAATAAAAAATCAAAGAACACCCTGTACTTATATATAATAAATACAGGGTCGATTTTGACATTTACAGTAAAAGGAAAGAAGCAAACAGAAGTACAATACAATATAACACAAATACCAGATGTTTCTGTTTATACAATAATGCATATATATTTGATTTGATATTCAGTTTTATAATTACAACCATTATTTTAATATTTTTTTTGACACAAGCGGACAACGAACCCGCTTCATTGTTCGGCTTTACCATTACTGTATATAATAAGACAGTCAGAAAGCTCACTGGCTGCCTTTAAGTATATGTATTTATGATAAATGTAATCTTTGTCAAAATATATTTTTCTATATATGAGAATTAAAAAAAACACAAGTCCCGCTTGCTAACTTTATCACAGAAACGCTCAGAAAAGTATAGAAGGCCGTAAAAGTTCATAGGTTTACCCGTTTGGAACCTTGTTTAACAACGCAATTCCTATCTTATTCTTTGATAGTGACGTCGATAACGTCTTTTCAAGTCTGTAAAAGATAGTTTATGCCATTTTTAGAGCGTTTGAAGAAACATTAGTTTATACATATTTTTTGGGTATTTGTTATCCCTAGTGCGCGTAACGACCTAAAGAAACATAGAAGTTCCCCGTTTTCCAATTTCTAAATTTTATAATATAATTGTATGAATTTTAACCAGTAAAGTTCATCTGATATAACGCTAGCGTGATATTTCAATTTGACCTACTTCAGCATTATAACATTCGTATAGATAAAATATGTTTTCTATATATGTAAGGACTACACCCGACTCATAATACAATATTTTTCTCTTATCACCTTCCGCTCCACTGAACATCACATTAGTACTGTCCACTTCGGTTTACCTGAATTGTGCTAGGTTGTATTAAATTATTTATTACATCGGAATAGCCTATTAAGGGATAATAGATGTAAGCTTAATACAAATTGAAATGGTGATAGTCAATATAGCCCACTCTACTTCGATTGGTGGAGTTCGATTTTCGGTGGTGTATTGAGGGATAACACGGGAAAGGCCTATATACCCTCTTGTTATAGAGAGTAATGTCCCCCCGTGACCACGGCTGCTGCAAAGCATCCGAAACGTCACCGAAGTTAAAAATCATTTTCAAATAAGTTTAACTAATATAACGCGTTTTAAACCGTTAAAGTGTTTTATTTAAATAGCTAGTTTCTCGAGTGGAGGGGAACCTTTGGCCCGTTGGGAAGAAGATCAGAAAAGATTTATCGGTATAGACTATTGCTGCATAGCACAAGATAGACAATATTAAGCATCTGTGAAAACGGCCTATACCCAAACCAGGGATTATGGTATATTATTAGTATCATGATCATAATACAGAATCTTCACGTACAAATGAAATGAAGTAATAATTTATGTTCAATTAAATAACATTATAACTACCAAATATTTTTTTAATTTGACATCAAAACGCTAATTATTATTATTTTATACCCACTTAGGGCGATATGTCCCAACAGTGGGAGCTGTTGATATTTGATGAAACCGGTTTTCCATATCAGCATAAAGGAATTTCTATATTGCTAAAAGGTTTGTGTGATGAACCCAGGATATTTAATTGGACCTTCTGGATCCCGGTGGAACCTGGTGATCATTTAATGTATAGAAAACCAAGATATATCAGAAACAAACGTGACTCTAAATCAAAGATTTAAACTTAAATAATACCCGAGTTTATTCCGAACTCTTTCGCAGTAAAGCTCCGCATTAACTTGTATTTATTGCGTCCGATACAACTTCTAACTTCGCTAGTTGTTTGTTAACACTTGGATGTGTTATCTTTTCTACTCACTGAGTTAGAATACTAAGATGGAGGGAGACGGGCGTGCAGGAAAATGGATACTTTTAAACTTGTGTTTTTATGTTATGTTTTATATTTATTTGAGTTTCAGTAGGTTATATAAGTAGAGCGCATTTGAATAAACAAATTGAACGGTTTATAATTGTCTATTTATTTTTTACTTTTTAACTGCCATAACAGACGGGATCCAATGCGACAGGATTTATAATCTTAATACCAATACAATATATATACAATAGAGCTAAAATACTGTCATAAACGTAAACAATACTTTTGTAACTCAAAATATACATAAATGTATTTGTGAGTTCACCCAAGGACTGTAAAATTTAATACGTTGTATATAGTTTGTGTTTTCAATCGTTAAATATGTTATGTATTTTATTGTAATGTAATTTTAATCAATCAGTTTTTATTGATCTTTTTCTTAGCTTGTCGCATATTCTAACATTGAGATTCTAATCTCGGAAAGTTTCTGTTTGTTCAAATGCACATGTTTTTACTTTTGTAAAAAAAATTGTATGTACTTAATATCATAATTGATAAAAAAAAATATTTATTTTATTAAAGTGTTTCAACGTAATTAAATTCAAAGTTAAGTGATATCATTGTATCTTTACCAGATGTAAAAATATATACATGTATCGTTAATATTTTGTTAAAACGTACTTAAATAAGAATTTTCATTTGTAAAGCAATACAAACAGTTTAAGAAAAGGACTTAAAGAAAGGGCTTAGTTATATTTATGCGTATTTATTTTCTCGGTGAAAATGTAAACGATGGCTTTCTAAGTAATTTATTTGGAACGGAGTGTTTTCCCTTTAAGCGTTTTTCCATTCCACCTATTTTCCTTAAATTAGGTTTGAGTCGGTGAACAAATTTTATATTTTTTACTTTAAGATTTAGTATATAACGGGGTTATGACAGGGAAAGACAAGCAAGAAATGGATTTAAATAAACACCCCAACCCGGTGACATTTAAACAAGATGCGCCGACGATCTATTTTGGCTTAAAATATTGAAATATTCCAACAGCCAAACGAAATCACCTTACGAATTTTTCATCTGCGAACGTGAACACTACCCGAATGAAATTTCATATATGTCAGTTTTTCTTTAATAGTCAAAAACAACAAATAAACATTTTAAAAGTACGCAGTTCTAGTTTCAAAACAAATTTTACTGTCAAGAATTTATCACGATATTGAAATGTCGTATAAAAAGATACTTCAATTTTAACTACTTCAAAACTAAAAGTGAATAATAGAGAAGTGAATATAAAGCATTCAAGAAGTTACTTTGAAAAAGATTCAAACTAAAAACTTCTGAATAAAATTTGCATCATAATGAGAAAAAGTTACGAAAATATTACTTAAGTGAAATTTCTCAGTGATTTACAGACTGGCAGTGGTGTTTTTCTTCTCGGGAATTATTCAAAACGCCAAACCAGATATAGGTAACAGAAGGGTGAGTTTTACAAAACTATAATTTAACTTAATATTACCATATATAAATTATTATTTTGTGACTTATATATTTACTTAGGTATTTGTGTTTGTAGTAGTTTATACGAGTATTATATACGACGACAGACATACACGATGTTCACTTGAGGTGATATAACCCACCCACATAACATCTAAACAAGACGCGCTAACGACCTATTTTGTATGGACTTTCCAGAAATACACCAGCCTCTCAAATGTTTTTATTTATCCACTAAACTAATAGTGATCATGTAATTCTCGTATTTTTTGGTATTTTTAAACATTTGAAATGCCCTTTACTCAACATTGGTAATTAGAAATGTCTGATGTCATATCCATTTTACAGAGATATTAAATTATTTATAAGAAGGTTAAATATTTTGTGTAGTTACAGTATTCACCAGAGCCGAGCTCAACAAGCAAAATATAAATACTGTCTGTAGTTTACGCGACTAGTTCACATTCAAATAAAACACTTTAACGGTTAAAACGCGATATATTTTAGTTAATCTTGTTTGAAAATTATTTTAAACTACCGCCCGTACTGCTCCGATCGTTTAAAACGTTACGGATCGGGATCGGTAACGTTTTAAACCGTTAAAGTGTTTTATTTAAAAGCAAAATATAACTGATATACGGAGCTTTACATGGTCCATTATTATCAGTAATTTTAATAAATATAACGCTTAAGTTAACTCTATGCTTCAGGAAAGTATGTCAGTTTACCAAACAAAGCAAATAAAGTATGAAGTTAATATTTCGGACCGCTTTCTCTCAATCACTGATAATAATGAAAATAATTTAACGCTCACGAATATCCGAATATCAACACTCGATTCGTTTTTACGAATGTCAATTAATTTAACGGTTAATCAGACAAATTAAGGAGAATAACACGAAATATTCATTCGAGATGGTTATGACGTCATTGGGAATGTTTATGTGGTGCTGTCCATTCGCAAGGCTTTGTTCTGAAATACATTTACATATTTAATTTATTTAAACACTGTAAGCGAATTGACGTATACATTTTATATTTGGGGCCGGTTTTTGGTTTGATTAATAATTACACAATGTAAATTGAACGTTCACTCAAGTTTTCCTATATTAGGTACGGGGCACAAACATTTTTGTGTCCATTTCACTTATATTTTTTTTCTAGACAACTAGATTACTGCGCCATACCCCACCAAAGCAATTTTCACCGGGATTCAAACCCAGCCCTAAAATGTTAGAGTCTAGACGTTACGTTTAACCGTTTAGTTAAGGAGTCTCTACGGCGTTAAGAAATTTAAGGAATTATTTGTTATTTTTAATAATATTATATAGTCTAGCATATTTTATTAAAAAACAGGACTTCCCAAAACTAAATAGAAAACTTTTATTTTTAAATCTCATTCTTTATCTCTTAATCCACTTTATTTGAATAACAGACATAAAAACGGACATTTGCGCATGATTCGTGTGGCAATGAAACTGGAAAATTGAACTGTACAATTTCGGGGACCCGCGGTCGAATCGTAAATTTTATATTCCATTTGGCTTAGAGAGAAATAAAATTTCAACTTCTTTACAGCATTCATCAAGACGTCATGACCAATGCTTTAAATTAATATCTTTACCGCAACTCGCGAGAGAAACTCAGAATCCTAGATATTGTGCTTTGGCCACAGTTACATTTGGACAGTTGGGCCTCCTAAGTTTATACTGGATCTAACTTGAGACGTTCAAAATGCTCAAACACTTACGCAACAAATTATTAAAAAAAAAAAACAACAACCAATACCATACAATAAAGTATAAAGAGAAAACAAAATGTTATTTTGCGCAACATAATTCAAATTTTTATTTGGTTAAATATAAATGACTTAATACTGTACGTACACTACTTTGTAATTACTTCTTACCAAAA